TAAACATTTGTAAATATTCTAAATGGTAAATAGTGAGTGTAAAGTGGAAAGTACATGTAATTTAAACACTTTGTTATTCAGTACACAAATCGTTAACCTACTTTTAAAACACAATTGTGTAAAATGCTGCTATAAATGAAAATTGAGTGCTGTTACACTTTTAGGAATTATTGGTGCCACAGTTTGAAATGAGATCTTGTGCCATTCAAACACACCAGATCTTAAGTACAAGTTCTAACTCACATGAAAATAGGTTTTGAAAACATTACTACTAACCAAAAGAAATGAAGAAAGTAGAAAATGAACATTTGGAGAATTTCCTATTCTAAATTATGTAACTTGATTGAGAAATGTTATTTCTTCTTGTATAGGAAGTTAAACATCTTTAAAAAAAACATTCTGGGCAAACTCTTTCAGTCCCATAAACTGACTTAGAAAAATCTCATGGGCTAGATGTTTCTCAGACTAACTTAGTCATTTGAGAAGTTTCTTTGAATATCAAACAGCCAAAAGAAACTGGATTTTTGTTTTATGGACTCAGTGTTTGTACATAAAACTACTCCCACTTCACATTCTAACACTGGGGATTTTAAAAAAAAAAAAAAACTTGTACATGGTATTCTTAGAGGTAAATAATGCATGATCTTATTTTGTAACTCAAACTATGTATTTGATAAAAATGTAAAAATGTACAGTATTGATGTTAACCAGCTCCTAAGAGTTGTTAGCCTATAAATATTTTGTTGTATAATTTTTTGGTCAGAACATTTGGGCTTAGTAGTGCCACATCAAGATTCTTTAGTGCCCTTCAGTGTACAGATCTCTTTAGTCTCTATGCAACTTGCAAAATTCCCTTAATTAGTTTTGATTCCTAATGCTTCTCTTTGTATAATTTAACAGAACATTTTACAATTGTCATATTTCAAAGTAAACAACGTATTGCCACAGGATTGGCTTTTGCTAAATAGTTCAGACCAGTCTAGCAGAATTACATATTTAAAACCCTAAGGAGAGATAGCTTTTTTTGTGTAGAAAGGAGACTGAAGATACCTTCAGCCCAAATAGAAGAGCTCCAATGAAGTGGCCAAATGTTCTCTCATCCCCCTCCCCTGAACTCAATCCTGTTTTCTAAACATTGTCATCAGATAGTAGGCCAGTTACTCATTGGTACATTACCTGTGGTCTTCTTCCTTAAAGGTTCACAAGTGACTTTGATTTCTTGTCCCCTAAATTATCTTGGAGTGGGCAAGATGCCTACTTATTAGAAGCAAAGATAACTTATAAAACAAGACCATTAGTAATTTTGACTTGTTGACATCAGGAGAAAGATGTTTTCTGCCCCTTTTGTAAACTACAGTTGAAGTTTCCCAGCTGGGTAAGTGCCATACTTGTTAACATTTAAGAACTTGGAGTGCTGAGCCCACTAAGGCAGTCATCTTGGGCCCATCTAGATGGACCGTGACCAGGGTTGACCTAACAGTGTGGAGTTTTCAAGAAAAGTCTGTTCTGTTGACAACAACCTAGTATAAAGAAGCAAACTAAGGAAACAAAAGGCTGTAAACATTTTTAATTGTTCTGCATGGTTTTCTTTTGAAGATTGGTGTAAGAATTTTGACTTTTTATATTTGAGAAAATATCAGAATAAAAATTAAATAAAAGTTGTGTGACTGAGGTATTTAAAAATTTAAAATTTTATAGATAGAGCCAATTCCTTTATGATGCTTATTGTCTTTTGGCTAATCGTACAGCTCTGATAACTTGATCCTAAACATTTACCCTAAATCAGTGTTTCATTCTGAAAATAACTGAAAACAGATTTTTTGGGGGCAGTATTTGGTATGGCAGTATGGAGGGGGAGGGGCAAGTATATTAATATAAGTAAAAAGATACAGTAAATGTATCTTTGCCCTGAGTTTGGAAATAAAATTAGACTAATAGACATTAGGGTATGTTTAAGAGTGTAACATTTCATTTAACTACCCCAGCCTTTTTTTGTGAAAGGGAGGAAACACTTGCTGTTCTTCTTGGAGGGAAATGACTTTGCTGAGGAGTAAAAAGGCCAGAGAAAGTATTTAAAGGCTAGTTTAGCTCTCCCAGTAGTGGATGGTGTGACTACAGTCAGCTTCTTCATCCACAAAATGGGCAAGATTGAACTAGTGGATCTCCCCATCTCTGAGTAAATTTACATTTCTAAATATTAGAAAAGAAAGATTTGGAGATTTCGGGCAACATGTAACACTGGTAGCAAAGGTTCCCATTCTCAATTCACCTATTCTTCTTTGTACCAGGGAAGAAAATGTAATTTGGCTTTGAATTAATATTGGCTGTCACCTCCCCTAAGAAAATATGGCAGTAGTGAGCTTCCCTAATCAGTGTGTGCTTTTAGTGTATGGTATGTTTTTTCCTTTCAAAGATCTCGGAGATTGAACCAAAGTTATTCTGTACACATTCTTAACTTGCCTTTTTTTTTTTTTTAACTACAACAAAAGGAATTTTATTTAAAAATAATTTTTTTACAGATGTGGGTGTGTGGAAAAGCTCTTTAGTTGTTTGTGTATGGGAATGAAAAATAATAAAAATAACTTATCTCCCAATCCTTTTGTTAAATAGATACAGTACCATCAAGTAGAGAAAAACCACTTTGTTTGCTTGAAACCAAAACTTATGGCAGTGACACAGGCTGTCTGAGGGGAAAGGAGAAGTGATTTCTGGCTGCCTCGGACTTGTCTCCCTGGGGAACACTAAAGCCATGTGGAAGCACTGACTATTTCATTTTAGTTTGGAGACTTCACCTAGGGAGAAGTTAATTTGCTTTTGAATAGTACAGATATAATCCCTTACTACAAGAAAAGATCTTTTGATTTGCAAATACTCATAATGCTTTTATTCACAATAACTTGGAAACATACCCAATACCTTTAAAAAAAAAATGCTTCTGAGGGTATTTCTTCCTTAGGATACAGTTCCATTGGAACCTTATGGCTTAGTATGTGGCAAGCATAGGGAGAACAATAATTAGGTATGCTCGTAGAGGTTAAAAAATCAGAATTATTTAATACAGGAGTAGTCAAAGAATTTTAGAGATCACATAGTGCCCCCATTCTCTCAATTTTTATTGATAAATTTTGTGACAGCCTACTTGCTGACTTGATCTCCCACAACGTCTGAAAACTTAGGCAAAATACTTATAAAAGTGCTCGTTGAAAGGCCATGCAAGGGGCAGCTAGGTGGTGCAGTGGATAGAGTACTGGCCCTGTAGTCAGGAGGACCTGAGTTCAAATCCAGTCTTAGACACATGCTACTCACCCTGGGCAAGTCACTTAACCCCACTTGCCTCGTGCAAAAAAAAAAAAAAACATGCAGCCTCTCACTTTGGCTTTATTGAAAGGACAGGTATGTCTTGGCTTATCCAATGGTTACTCTCTCTTCTCCCCCCCATTTTTATTTTTACCTTTAAAACAGACATTTTCTTAGGTACTGTTAGTACTCTAACCCATTGGTATCAAACTGAAATAGAAAAGGGGCCATGAAAATGTACATTGGCCTCCCTGAGTAGCATTGTGTTTTGTTTTGTTTTTTTAAGTATTTCCCAATTAAATATTTTTAATCTGGTTTCCTAACCCTCCACTGTATTTCTCAAAAGTTTTTGCTTTTATATTACATTTACTTTTTTAAAACTAAATTTTTAAATTAAAATATTTTCACATGACCAGCATTTTCCTCTCTTGATCTCTTCCCCCAACTGGGGAGAAGGAAGACAAAACTCTCACCACAGCAGCCAAATAAAATCCCAGTTTGACCATTTATGTCTTATTCTGGATTCTGAGTATTACCTCTCTGGCCAGAGTAGGGACACTGTGGCAGCACAGGGGTCAT